ACTAAAGACTAAAATCTATAGTTTAATTATTGTAAGTAGGTAACTTACAAAGTACGTTTTACAAATTTAACTAATCTAATCGAGGATAACTGTTATCTTCGATTAGATTAGTATAATTTGTAAAACGTACTCTTTTGAAATGTATAATTTGGGTTTTCAACTAAATATCGATAATATACAGATACCGATCAAATATATTATTAAAATATTAACATTTCACATTTATAAACCATTAAAAAAATTATAAATTATAATATACAACAACAATATTACATTAAAAAATATTATTACCTATATTTGTAATATTATACTAATATCGATTACAACATAATATTATGTATTACTCATAAATTATATATATAGATATTAAATATATTATCTATGGTATTACTATATAGGACACAGGTAACCATGTTGTTTATAATTTAGGTATAACATTTTGATTCCAAGACGTATCAATGAAGGACATTTGCTTTAATATAATCTAAAAAAAACATTTACACCGCTGTTACTAGACATTCGATAACTTACATACAGATGCTCTATAGTTATTAGTTTTTCTATTAGTTATTCATTAATTTATGGAATTTAATTTAATAATTGAACTTTCGGTGACATAAGACAAGTAAATGAAAAAATTCAAAATAATGCCTGTGAACATTGTGAATGAGTCTGAAAAGTAGGTAGGTACAACGTTATGGTATATTTGTGTTTTAGGATTTCTCATAATATAATATTGTTTTAAAAAATGTTTTCATAGTTCATTAAATATGCACATGCAATTATTTGTTTACTTTGCAATCATACTAATGGAATCCTGGAAAATTCTTGCTCGTTTTATTATAAAATAACATTAAGGTTGTAAAATATTATTTATGTATGTATTTACAAGTTTAAAATTAAAATTCAGTGTTTATGGACTTTTGTATTTAATCAGGTTGACAGTGCTTAGGTACTTACTTTACCTAAGACTTGATGGTGAAAATTATTTCTGCAATAAATTTATTTTCAATTGATTAACTGTATTCCAAAATATTATTTAGTTTCTAATAAATATGTATACTAATTAATCACGAAAAAAAGCAAATAATTATACCAACTTACTAAACCTACTTATTACAGTTACAGTTAATGTTACAGAGAAATATAAATATTATATTTTGATAATTATTCTGAAGACGTGAAGAACTAACTAGTAGTATAAATAATTACCTTTGGAGTAGGAGTAAGTTGTTTTAATTCCCATGTATTTCATTAATTAATTTATTACCCAGTGAGTTGTAAAATGTTATACTCTCTAGAGAGTATAATAATAGTATTGTGAATATTTTAATTGTGTAATTAAAGGTTTAAAGAATAATTATGATCACTGTTGTATTCACCAACGTAATAACTAATAGATGCCTAATGAATATAAAAATACTACCTACTTAATATTTTAGTTATTGTTGTTGTCAAGTACTTAGTACATATATACATCATATTGAAATAATATTATTATAGTAAACAACTATAATAAGTTTATTTTTAATTTTGAATATTATGATTTATCATCAATCATAATTCATACATTAAATATAATACTGCAGATATGTTATTTGATAATGTTTACCATCAGATGTATAAATGCTTTATTCATATTAGAACATAATATGAACAATTTTATTTTACATAAGTGCCCCTCCCCTTCCAACTATATATGTTTCTTTATACATTTTAATTGTTCATTATTTCCAAAAATATTTACAGTCTGTTGGTATTTGGGAAAAAAAAACGCAATACTTAAAAGCGCTTATAGGTTTCCAGTCTAATTATGCGTGGTTGAACGAGTTTTAATATAATAAGTTGGTTGTGTAATGTATTTTATTTTTCTCAGATTAAAATAATTTAAAATTTTAAAAGTATAAAAATATTGTATATCCTATGTAAAGTATAAATTAATATAACTTCACACTTAATCTTTATCAAGAACAATACAATTTTATTTATTTTTAAAAACGTAAGTATTTATCATAACGCTAAATCAATAATTTACCAAATAGATTAATTGGTTTTTAAACATTTTCGATAAACATTATAACAATACTTTGATCTTAGTCGATAGGTCACACGAGTTTAACACACCAACATTTAATGAAAAAGAATACCCTCACATAATTATTATCTACTACAAATTTAAGCTATGTCACTCCATTACATTGAAATGCATCTTAATCGAATGCAGGACATAATAAGAGGAAGGAAGGAGAGGAGTGAATTTCTGACCACCTTTCCGAAACTCTTAACTCAGAACCAAACCACATACTGAAACTAGGTACTCGAATCCTTAACATCTATCAAGAACAAACATCGTCAGTTAAGTACCTAAATTTATAATAATTTTATTTTTAAATTCTGAGCGGAGCAATGAATGTATTGATTTTACAAAGATGAGTGTTTTTTTTTTTGTCACCTGTATACATCACTTTTCAGAGCAGTAAAAAAAAAAAAAATGGTTAGATTTTCTTCAACAGCACCTTTTTTGATATGAAATTCGGTACTTTGAGGGATCAAAAGTAAAAATTTTCCAGTAATTTTCAAAAACGCTGGGAAAACAAAAGAAAATTTAGGAAAAACGGATATTTTTCGTCAAAACAGTTTTGGTTTTTGGTGTAGCTCTCAAACAATAGATCGTAGATACATGACATTTTCACTGAATGTTCATATTAGAAATTTCTATACACCATAATATTTTAAAAATAATCTGACTTGTCTTGAGGTGTTAACGCACATTAAAATGACGTAGGCACTATTTTTTTTAAGCATTTAAAGTTCAAATTTTGACAAAGACCAAATTTAAAATTTAAAAAAGATTTTCTATTTAAAAATGTACAAAAGGTTTAACTTTTATAGCTAAAGATTGAAAATTTAAAAAAATATAAAAACTCAGTTTCTTTTATATACCTACTTATTAGTTTTGAAAGTTCAAATTTAGACGAAATTAGATATTTAAACGAAGAAGTATGATTTTAGTTTTGTGTTGTATTTTAAAATAATTTTTCATGGGTAGGTACCAGAAACTTCTAAAGTATTTTATTGTATACAAATATAATAATAATTAAATAATAATAATTACCGACTACAGCCATATTAATAATAATTTTTAACAATATATTTCTAATATAAAATATCTTGGACAATAAACCGTCTCTCCTCAGAATAGTTTTTCGTACCTATGCAATGATATTATATCATTGAATTCAATTTAAATACCATACATTACAGTCACTCACTGTGCAGAAGAGCAACATCCACTTACTAGTTTTTTTTCTTTTTTTTTTAAATAAAAATAATTGATCTAACCTAATTTTATCAAAAACCATTGTTACGCCCTGTAATTGACTCAGAATTTAGATGCCGCACATAATACTATTCTAATAAAAATAAGAAAATAGGTATAGGTACACTTTATGATGTAGAATAAATGTATAATATACCAACACCTAATTTAATCTATAGTGATGTAAAATGTACATTATGGTGTAGAGTTTATTTTTTGTTTGCCGGGCTCTTATTAGCATTGCACTTATCGCAGTATGGCTCACAAAACTTCTCGACTTTACGACCCTGGGTGTATTATTATAATTTATAGTCAATCGACGAGCATAATATATCAATAGTATCAATGTATTATTATAATTTATTGCCGATCGACAACGACCCGTTTGTAGATTTTTGTTTCTGTTTCACGAATTTACTTTAACCGGCATTATAATTCGGCATGGGTATCAGAAGAGGTCTCGACGGGATGAGCGAGTATAGACGTATTAAATTTCCATTAAACTCAGAGCGGACAACCGCGGAGCCCAATCGAAATAATAAACACATTAATATATACAGGGTGTTCCTCGTGTCTGTCGCGAGCATGGTTTTTAGTTATTTCTTTTTTATGTAATCTTATAAAAATATTAATAATTGAAGTATTGATTAAACAATGTTTGAGTGGACAATATTAAGAAATGTATTATCACGTAGCTCTAGAATGTTATTCAATTGTATACCAAAATGAATGATAATTCGTACGTCATAATCGTCATATATAATGGTCAGAAAAAAAGCATTATTGGAGCCATAAAAAGAAATAGGTATCAGCATTAAAAAAAAATTGTTTCGTTATTGGTACCTATAGCAAGCTTGAAAAATTTTGAATTTTTATAGAAAGTTCCCGCAATAAAAATAGCGAAACACAAAATAAACCGTTTAATATTATTATTGATGATGAACCATGCGTACACCGATAACATGAGATACAGATACTTAACAAAATATGGACGACGTGTATCGACAGTATAATATTATGTTGCATTCGCATACCAAGAGAGATACCCCAAGCAAAGGGTAGTCGATGAGAACAAATATAATATTTATTATTATTATACTACTGCGTTATATTTTATATACCCGAGAGCAGGTTAACCGTAGCGAGCGTAACGAGTAACGCAAACACGACGCTGTCGATCGCCGATGTTTAGGTATATATAGGTGCCATATATATATACGAGTTTCAAGCGGGAAAAATAGGTTTTAAACGCGTACCGCTCTCTCCCCCCCCCCCTCGGCAACGTCGGCGATGTGTTAAAATAAACATTTTTGACGAAACGAGAAATAAAAAACGCGCCCGTTTGATATAGCGATAAGTAAAAGTAAAAAAGTCTCCACGTGAATAATGTACGGAAAAGGTCGACCCGCGGGGAGAGTGGGGGGAAGGGGGAACGGGCAGAAAAAATAAGAAATTTCTTCTTCGAGTAGAAGAGTGATTTATACAGTGTAAACAAAACAAAAGGGTCATCCCTCGCGCGTCTTATAATACACCTACCTCTCTACCACCGCTATCGCCACTGATCCGGTCGGTAAATCAAACGGTCGGCGGTTGTTTGTTCTCCTAGCGCCAGTATTACAATAATAATATAGTGGCGACACTAACGGGCGTGTCCGCGCCGCATATTATCGGTTACACTTACCGGCGGCGGCGGCGGCGGCTGCTGCCCGCGAGCTCTGCTGTTGGTCCTCATCGTCGTTCTTGACATCGGCGGCGTCTTGGTATTTTCCGGTCTTCTTGGACGGTCTACGGTCCACTTCGTTGGCGGGCGCTGGTTAGAAAAAAAAAAATAAATGTATACATAAAATACTCTATAATAATATAAACACATCACAAATAGGTACATAAATCCAACGGAGTGAAAAAGGGGCGGAGTGTATCGTATGATATACATATATATATATATTATAATATATGTGTATGTTGAGAGCGCGAGCGTGTGTATAAATATATACCAAATCGGCGAGAAAAAGTTTTCAGGCGTCCGACCGAATAAGACGATAAATTAACCATCGTATACCGCGGTACTCGCACGTATATATAGGCGCTGCAGTGGTCGAGAGTTGTGCTGTGTGTGTGTGTGTGTGTTGCCGAGGGTGGTCAAACCTCTCCAATCAAAACCTAGTTCTTAAAAATGTATCCTGGCTAATAATAGTTATTGTTTGCAATAAACCGTACATTTATAATTATCACTAAAAATCACGTTTGTCATTATTATTTATCACCGGGGAAAATGGTTTGGAATTTTCTCGATTTTGTTCTTACACGAACCACACGCGCGGTGTCGGTAAAATCGATGGTAGACATAAGCGCCAAAACGAGATAAGAAATATATAAATTGTATCGTATATACAAAAGTGCCAAAATCCCATACACCTATATATAGGTACATGGATGTTTCATTCCAGATATTCAATTTAGAACTGCGTGGGTACCTATCATTCAAAAGCTCCTGCAAACGCCTACAATCTTATAATGTTCCTAAACATAATATTATTGTAATAATATGAATTTTTATTTATAATATTTTTATGTACTTACTATTCATGTATTTTAAAATGTTAATATCGACGCATATGATAAAATAAGTTTTTTTTGTACCTTTATATTGCTAAATCGTAGGTATATCCGGTAAAATACATAATATATTTTTAACAGTCACCCGTTGTTACCACGGACTAAATGCAAATTAAAGTGTATCTAAGCTCATGCAAGTTACTGCTCAAATATTATGCTCAAGCAGTAATTAAAATGTTTCGTTTTAATACGTCACCTCTTTTTATCGTCTACCGATTTAGTAGTAGTCGAGGACTTTTCAGAAAATATTTCTATCCATAGTTGAAATTATAATAGTACAAGTATAATTATTATTTTAAGTAATAATTTTATCATTTAGTTTATCGAAATTTTCAATTGTGATATTTGAATTATAAATAAAAATCTTACATTTGAGAAAGGAAAAAAATCCTAACTACACCATAATATTACATAAGCGTATAATTTATTCTTACGGTGTGATCTGAAAGGGGCTGTTTTCGTTACCTTATATTATGAGTATAAGGTATACTCGTATTATATGGGTTCAATGCGATTTATATTTATCATAAACGTATAGTAGTGGGCTCACAAATAACACAAATTGCTTTAATATGGTACGAGTGGAGCGTGTAAAATGTGTGTAGGTAGCTATGAAAAGAAATAAGGGTGTGTGTTTGAGCTATTTTATAAATCGTTTTTTTTTTTTTTTTTTTTTATATAATATATATATATATGTACCCTTTCCTCCGAATTTAGAAGATTTTTTAGGCATCTCAGTCGTCCACCAGCGACCGGACACCGAAGTGGGCACTGTGGTCGTGGTAGTAGTGCTCGTAGTGCTCGTAGTGGTGGTTGTGGTGGTGGTTGTTGTCGTCGTCGTCGGCTTAGGCACGGCTACATCATTATGGAAATATGAAAACAAACGTTATTTACAAGGAAACTATAATATTATTATTAATTAGCGTAAACTCGTTTTTGACGCTTATCCAGTTTTAATTGTATGTACCTTTGTATAAGTATAGGATGTCTCACCGTATTTGTTCAAGTCCACCGACCTATATAGATTACTTATACATTTCTCTACACGCCTCTTGATAAAACTTTGAAACTTGAACAACTGTTTGTACTTAATGGAAATTAATAATTCAACTTTTAAAATATTTACATAAACTAGTTCTATAAATTGAATGTCTCGGATTTTTCGAAAACACCATAAAAAACATTTAATTATAAATTATTTTAATATATTATTACATTTCATTTTGTACCTACCTAAACTAAAACTAAAAAGTACTGAACATTATACTAATTGAAACCCTCCAATAAGATAAAGATTTTTCAACGGCGTAATATAGTATTATTAATACACATAATATTGTTACCTATCAGATTTTATAAGCTTGAGGAAAGTTATTGTGAAGGGAGAGTAAAATTCGGTATAATAGCTTGCAGGTACAACGATATTTTAGCTGTAGTATTTATTTCGGTATTAAACACGTCTGTTTTGCTTTGTAATCTTTTTTGATTTTTAGCACTAATTTTGATTGACGAGAATTATTATATTAACGAACGATTGTTGAAATTAAGACTATAATTCAGAACAATTTATAATAATATGTTTGTGTTTGTTAAGGGTAATTCGAAAACATGGATTCAATAATACTCAAGTCCGAAACGACGTTAATCCAAATTGCATGTTTGATTATAATATAACTGGATGAATTTTTCTGCCGGTTTGTAAAACACAAAGTGAATATATTATGCAACTTATTATGTACAAAAAGTCACAAAGAAATATAATATGAGATAATAATATAACGTAGGTGGATAGATAGCTTATCACTGCAGGATTGTGAATAGAGTATGTAAATATCAGTATAATATCACATAGTATATCTAACTATTATGTGTTCGACATGAAGTTATCACTGTCAATAAAATATGTTTACTTTCGGAGAAGATAACGAGTACCTACCTACACGATTGTATTGTAAAAATCTATAAATGGATAACGAAAAACGTTTTAAAACTTTGGCACCAGACGAAATATAGACCTTACAGCAGGCGGTTTGACTATCACGGGAAAAAAAAAACTTTTGTGTAGAAATATTACTCCATTAAACGTAGAAAATATGTTTAACTACCTACTAAAATATCAATAAATTGTTTTAAGAGTATTATTATTACTGAATAATAGTAATTCGAGTGATTCGAGCGCTATGCTTGAGTGGGGCAATATTCATGTTTTGTACATTATGCGTTGTTCATCGTACGATTCAAGTACCTCTACCTACCTCAGTCTATGGATACAATGGATGTTTATTACATTTGTAAATATTAATCTTTTTAACTATTAATATCCTCTAGAAATCGGCCCGAAGATTCTCGCTGAAAATATACGTTATATATGCAATAGGTCCCTTGTTTTATGCACTTTTTACAGTATGCAAAACTCGAGGCAAAAGCCAAATTTCGTATAAGTAGTCTATACTGTGGTAATTACGAATATATTGTATTATAGCAATGTGTGAAGTCGCCATTTTTAATCACCATCATTATAATTAATTTTAATATTATATAATAGTATTCATGGTTTGTAGATTTTCGGATGTTGGATTGTGACGGATGTTTTGATCCACATAAATACACCAAATTATAGATAATAGCTTTTTCGGTATCAATAATAGGTGTAGTCTGTTTAAAACAAGATTATAATTTTATACTAATGACTCGTGTCATAGTTGTTTCTATGACCTTATAATATTATGATTGTTATTCATATAGTTGTTATTCATGGTATCATAATTAAGAAAACAAAATATTTTGTGTAGGTATACCTACTAAATTGATGTTTAACAATAATAAATATATCTGATGTATATAAATTATAATAAATAAATAACTTTAAGTATCACAATTTATTATGTTATACTTTTTCTTGTAGTACCGAATAATTTAATTTAAAAATTAATTTAATAATATTTCAACATTTTTTTTATTCATATAGGTATTCATACAAGTACCTAAACAACGTTTATTAAAAATAAAAAGTTGTATAAGGGATTTCAATATTAATATTTTTATTTATTTGTTCACCATCACTATTTATTATAATAATATGTACCTATACTATATAGCTTTATCTAAAATATCTAGATACATACCAAGGTAACATAATAGATATTTAATAATTATAAGAGTTAACAATTATAATTAACTGACATTTTAAAGTGCAGGTGATCATACCCATAGCCCATAATATTATTAAGTTTTATTATAATAATGTTATTTATATTACAAAACTAAAACACACATCATTGGTGATTAAAATAACTTCTTATATACAACTGGTCTTTGATTTTCCGTACACGTATCATACAATATTTAATTTAATTTTTTTTTCATATTTTGATGTCCTTTTTTATTTTTTTTTTTTAAAATGTTATTTGACTATAAGTAGGCTGTGGCACTTTTCGTAAATAACAACTTGATATCTAAAAAAAAATAATAATGTAAAAAAATATTGCTCTTTGAGTGTACTCTAAAAATAGGGATGCTATCCTGTCAATCAGTGTTACAGGACTGAAACTTAATATTGTTTATAATAGTTAATTAAGTATTAAATAATGAATTTATTACTATGTCATGATGAATATATATAGTGTAACAGAATCTCTTAAATATGACAAAAAAACTTGTTGAAATTATATGATTAGTAAATAGTTTTAAGAATATACCCATGTTATAAAATTTCCAAAAATAATATTTTTAAAAAAGCTATTGCGTTCCAAATTTATTTTATCAAAAAAATATTGATATTTAAAAAAATTCTAAAAAATAAACTACTAGACTTAGATAAATGTTTTTACCATCCAAATCGTTCTTAAAATCAGATTCACAAGTTTGCTATTTTGAATTTATTCAAAAAAATTTAAGTCAAATTTAAAATTTTTTATTTTTAGTATAAAAAAATAAAAATAATTTTTTTCCTCTTACACGTGTAGAACAAGTGGCTATAAATTATATATAAAAAAAAAAATTAAAAATAATGATCATAACAAAAGTTATTCCAAAAGTCAGTTCTATCTGTTACACCCTGTATAATAATTATAAAATAAAACGACCTCTCTATATTCAAAATGTTAATATTTTTTTTTATAAATTGTTTGGTGATACGAAATATTATTCATATTAATCAAATTAATTTTTGAAATGTCGATGAAATTTAATCATTCTATACGTAATTTTATTAAGTATATAGTTATTTTTTTATTAATACAATTATTTATACAACATCTATGTATTATGAAATTAATTGGTTGTTAAACTTTTTATGGAAAAACAATATTATAATATATACCTATTCCATTTACAATAATATAGTAAAACATATTTTTGAGTGAAACATTTAATAGCTCAATTGATATTGAATGTATTTTTAAGTACAGTAATTATACATATCCGAGACCTAACTACACGAAGAGTATCAGTAAAAGTAAATAATTTATTATTGTTCACACAAATTAGAAATAATTATAATAATATGTTGTACACATCTACTTAAAAATTAAATTGAGCATGTTAAATGGATGTATACGTTCGTTTTGTATGCATACATTTTTCTTTTCGCAACAAAAAATGATGATTATAATCTAGGTATACGTATATATTAATCTGCATACCGTAAAGCTTAATAGTGCCGTCTGTTTCGCCCAACGAATTTTTCGAAACACACTGGTACGTGCCGTAATCGGACAACGTTACCGATATTATCGTCAGCTTCATGTGCGTTTTGTACGCGTTATCCTTCAGATCTGTGTGGTATTTGGTGCCTGAAAAATTTCGTACATTATTTTTAGTTTTTATATAGACGTTATAATACGTTATTATGTGTGTACTTGTATAATATCGTGATGAAATTATCGACCGTTCGGATTCTAACACGACGATTATGCGACTCGTTGGTAAACAAAATAATAATAATGATAATAATGATATATTTAAAATAAACAACAATTTCGAAGACATTCCAACATAGGTATTTCGTTTGTCTTTGCGGAGAAGCTAAAACCATTCGTCGAAACTTCAACTGCGTAGTTAAGACATAATGGTAACGACCGACAGCATCCTTTCCTTCCTCGGAAGTAATAATCGAAAAACAAAACTTGTAGGAAACTCACTGTTACAATACAAACGATTGATATACCAAAGTCATGTTGTTCGGACTAAACTAGGTCCAGGTCCCCGGCACCGCCCATTCGACATTTGGAATTTAAACCGAGGGATTTTTATAACTTTGGAAGGAGCACAGACGAAGGGAATTGCTGCACAAACCAGCACAAACGAAAGCCCTGGGTTTAAATTCCGAATGTTGAATGGGCGGTGCCGGGGACATGGACCTGTCAAGACTAGTGCTGTCTGGAAGCTGCACGGAAAATTTACTTTCACGGCTCGTCAAAATCGTGCATATATTTTAAGCGGGAGGTATAACCGTATACGACATGAACTTAACAAGACTGTCAACACTGAAAATACTCGATCGTTTGCCAGAGCCAAACAATTATAAAACATATAATATATAGCAATAATAATAATCTATTATACTGATATTATTAAACCACTAACACGTAGTTACCACAGGATTTAAATATAACTAATATCAAATTATATTTGAACAATAATATTACAAAACTGCTTAGTTGGCATAGAATATTATTTATATACCTGTCAGTATATTGTTGTATGCAGGTCCTCTATTTTAACAGTAAGTTATAAGTTATAACGATGAAATTATGTTTATTTACTATGATAAGAAAATTTAAAATTGTAAAACTCTAACCGCAAGCAGAAAATAGTATGGAAAAAAAAAGCAAATGCCTTCAAAATCCGTACTCTATATATTACCAATAGGAGATTACAATTTTAAATAAAAATATTTTTAAAATACAGCTGTAATAGCATAGATCTCCAGAATTAAAGTGTTCACTACATTTAGTATGGGTAAGTATATATTATTCAATGTTTGTAGTTTTTATTGATTAAATTCAATTTAATCAGTAATAATCTGTCAGTTTGGTATTTAAATTAAATTAATAACATTTATGTACACCTTTATTTTACACATCAGCGATCTTAATGTGCTTTTATATTATTTAATGAATCATTAAAAATTGAAAAAAAATCTCTTTTTCCTCTCATAAATTATGAAATGTTTTTTCAATTCGTTATTTTTTATCGATTAACGTATTTTTGACATTTTAATTATTAAACTACATAATATTATATCCTGTAGTATATACGTATAGTATAAATCAATACATTTTTAATAAAATAATCATTTAAAGTTTCAGTAGATTTACTTTGAACATGCACAAATAAAGTTAACCTTAATGTTGTATATAGTATTGACGATGGTAACAGAATATCTATCGTATAATAATATAGGTAAATATAAATCATGAAAATAATAATAAAGAATCATAATGTATATATTAATATACTGAGTTTCATGGAATAATATTTAAATATTTTCCACATATTTTGATAGATATACATTGACAAAACTGTACTTGATACTTAAAATAGAATATTGAGAATACGTATCAACTATACACAATATTGTGTATACCTATCTATAGTTATACTGTTCAAGCATAATGAAATAATAATATTTTAATGGATATTAATGTCCTATCAGGATAAATCATATTGCAATATAATTGTATACACTTTCCTTACGATACGATATCATTGTCTATTATAATAACGTCGGAAACGATTTAGTTGTACACGTATTTCGTTCGCAAACAGTCGTTCCCACGTCGGTGGGTATTCTGGCATTCATAATAATAATATTTATTACGGGTACCGTTTTGGTCGGAGTTGTATTATTCGGCGTCCACCTTTTGCGCCCAATTTAAAATCCCGTGGAAATCAAACCATATAGTAGGGTTCACTGAATCAGACTAGCACAGTTCTACGCTTAATGTTATTCAGTAAAATATAATATGAACAAAATCTATAATGTATATTATTATTATAGGTGCATAGGTAGTTCATTAGGCATAGAAATAATTCTTTCGCGAACGTATAGATGATGGATTCCAAAAAAAATAAAATCAAAACTATACACTAATACACACATATGAGATTATATAATATATGTTATATGTAGAGGTAATGCCTAATGCTTATCAGATCTTATCAGTCTATAAGTCCCAAGCGCGTACTTATACGTGTGCTTAAGCGTACGATGTTTTCTATTCTATATATATTTTATACTAACCGTTTGATATGATAGTCGTTTTATCTTTTGTCCAGTAATCGATTGATTTGGGATACGCTTCGGACGTACATTCCAAAGTGACCGATTGACCTTCTTGTGCACCGACGAGCTGATTTTGTATCCATATCATGGGAGGGACTGTTGAAAAAAAAAAGAAGAAAAAAACCGCACGCACACACAAAAAATAAAATAAATTATTATGAAATCCAATAATCCTGACGGGAAATCGTGGAATAATAATATTTACCACCATATACATTGTATACTGTACAGGTACACACTCACTCACTCTCTCTCACACACACACACACACACACACACACACACACACACACACACACACACACACACACACAATGGCTTATACAGGGTGTTTAAGGGTTTTTCGTATAAGCTATGAAAACGTTGTCGCGTTAGTCTAGAATCGAACACCTATTTCACGATTTACGAATGTGAAATTGCTTTTTGTGAAATCCTGATTTTGAAAGGCACTATTATGACACCCATTTAATTGAATTTAAAACATAATATTATGCCAATACAAGCTAAATGCACGACGAGAATATTGTCGCACGACAATACATTCTACATAGGTAGGTATAATAGTTCTATTGATATACGTCATGTATACATTAGAGTTTTGAGTTTTTTGGACTCCCGTCAGAGTGGTCTCACAAAAAGTCTCTTGGAGGAATCCGTTTTCCTTTAAAACACCAACACATTATAAGGACTTATCAATCAAGACCACCTAATTGAAGCTGCGGCAATGGTACCGTTGAACATCGCACACTTATGTGGGTTTTCGATTACATTCACGTAAAAATGAGATCATTCTCAATGTTTGTTCGGGTAACCCGGAAACACTCTGTATACTATATGTTGACATTGTTTGCCTTGCATGTGTGTGTTTGTGTGCACACATAGCTATAGTGGTTAATTAGTTTCACTCACATTGTATGACTAGCATGATGCGTTTGCTAACTGAAGGTGGAATTCCGTTGGAAGCTATGCACAAATATGCGCCCATGTGTAAACGGTTAACTTTTGATACGTTTAACCATGGCCCGTTCACCGCGGACACTGAAATTGATAAATTTTAAACACAATTAAAATAAAATATATTCATATCGTTCTACTCATAATTTAAAACGACAAACACTTCGTGCGTTATACATAATATACCTGCAATAGGTTATCCAGGTAGTTATAGATACAATTTTTATACAACCTGACCAAGCCAGCCAAATCGAAATATAAAATAATTGATTCAGTCACATTATTCATTGATTTGGTTGTCAATATATCTACTATTATATTTGTTATGTAGAAACTGTGGTACTTAGTGTATAATAAAATATATCTATACACCAATTAATTTAATTTTTTAGATTCTGAGTGGAACTATGAATGTATTGATTTTACAATGATGTGTGTTTTTATTTTTGTGTCTGTGCACACGATAAGTAGTCGAAATAATGCTTCGATTTTCAACTACAGTATCTTGTTCAATTGGAAAGTGAATTTCGTTAGTGTATTGGGGACGTCAAGATTTAACATTCCCAGTAATTTTCAAAAGCGCCAAGCAAAATTAAGGAAAAAACGGGAATTTTTACGCAAAATCGATTTTTCACAAAATTGAATTTGGCTTTTGGTGTAACTTTAAAACAAATGACCATAGATACATGAAATTTTCACTGGTTGTTTATATTTGCATTTTCTGTACACGATAACAGTTTCAAAATATTTTGATTTATTTTGAACTATTTTGAACCTAGACTAACATACCGTCTCCACTCAGATTCGTTTTTCTTATACAATGATATATCATTTAATTCAAATTTAATACCTACCATCCATTATACAGTAACATCATTGTAACCTATCGTACAGCAGAGCACCTTTTTTTTTTTTTTATTCTCCAAGAACACGTTGCGGTGTGGGAGCCCCATACTATATTATAAAATATAATTATTGTAAAATTCACAGATCTGATAGGTTAATTATAATGAATTCATTGTATCATTTTACACACATAATAGCTCTATCATACATATTATGGGTTTGACGAAAATGTATTCAGTTTGAGTTTATTCATAGACATTTTACAAGTGAATTCGCAGATTGTTTTTTCTTCACAAAATGTTTGATAATTATGAATTTTATTTTTTCATTATATTGGAGTAGATTGTTTTTTGATAGTTATATTGTCAGCATTAATTTTTATTTCAGTATCATAATATCATAAAACAATTTTGTTCGGTAAATATAGATTAAGTAGAGATTTTATACGATTTAGATTATTGAGATAATCCAGGAGATAAATGTTTTCTTTTATTTTACTGTTTAGTCCAATTGTTATTGATATATCGTCCGTAGAAGTTATTAGAAGGCTTCCGATAATAGGTTTTTATATGGAGTTTGGTTGATAATTTTACTTTGTTTTTATTGATATGTTTTTTACACATCATTCGAGCAAATATAAAATTTGTTACCTAATGTATAAACAAATGATAATTATTAGTAATTATAGATCATTATAGTTTGTTAATTTGAACTTTGAATAAGTTACCATACGATTTTGATTTGTTGAAGGGCAATGGCCAACCCCGTGAAGAAACACAAGATTCGTTAAAAAAGCATAATATTTTTGCAGTTGTATTGACACTTTGAACAAAAAATGACTTTTTATAATAATTATAAAAGAGTAAACGTAGAGCGACAGTCAATGTCAAATGCGGAACAATGACTACATTAAATTTATTCAAATTAGAATTTTTTCATTTTTTTGTACCCCAGCAGCAGAAAACAGAGATCACTATTATAAACAATATCGAAAGCGATAATAATATAGCATTGATATTTATGAAAACACCCGCAATGATAAATTGGGATTCATGTTGAGATACTTCCACATCACCCCACCTACCTATTCATTTTATTCATTTCCAGAGTCTCAAGTTGCCGAATAAATTCAGAAAAACATTTTATTTTCCCTTAGCCTTAAATATATTAAAACATATTGCATACCTACTGTTTTAAATATAAAATACAAATGTATGCTATAGAAAAAATAGGAGTTATATTTTTACTGAAGTATACTACTCATAATATTATACAGCACTTATAATTTATTGCTTTTTAAATACAATGTTAATGGACTTTTGAAGGTTGTCCAAACATTTTTAAAGATTGGGCTTAATAAAAAACTAATTGATTTGTTCTCACCATCAATTCGTTGTTATTTTTCTCGCATACTTCACGAAAACTTAAGTCTTGCATTAAATACATACCTACTATTACCTATCATACTATTACTATGATTATCAAAAATATTAGAATTTTAACACACGAAGACCTTTTCCAAATGTACATTGAAACATTTTACACAATATATTATAGTACCTGTGTATTATACAGAGTTCTGTGCGTAAAATACGATTACATTCAAGTTGTACAGTCTGCTGAATAACAATACACGCGTAATACACAAAATATAATAATATAATGCCATTATAATCTATAGGTATAATATTATGGACGTGAGGCATATGTTTTCAACTTTTAGATATCACATATAACGTAATTTATGCAATAAACGTTTTAACTTAATACCTACCATTTCTGGGCTGAGTGCTGTTTTTCTAATCTCCATGTGCATCATAGATATTGCGGTGTTATTCGTTTAAACATAAAGCCCTTCAATGATATAAGCTCCCTTATTTTTATAATATTATAAGTGTTCATTAAACTGTTTGGCGTGCACGTAGATATATTAGCATTGAAGCAACGGTTAAAATGTATTTAATATATATATATAATTTATTACTACTACATTTTAATCACAAATTATAAACATATCGTAATTTTTAACATATTGCAATAATTATTGCGACAAATAAGAATAGAAGGAGTTATAATATTTTATATTTAGTAATAAAATATTTAATGTTATAACCTATACGCTGTTTTTTTAAAGAAGAATTTTACTATTAATTCGTTTATCATCTGACAAAATCAGAAATAATAAAATGTTGAACATATATTAATGTTTTTAGAATTACTTTTTAAAGTTAAATTATTATGCCAAATAAAGACAGTCATACCAAAATTGAACCTTCTATGTATTAACAATTTCGTCTAGTCTGAAGAATAAACCTATACCACATACGGAATTATAATACTTAAAAAAAACATGTGATTGAATTATGTATGGCGTATGCCAAATGTGAAATGTAATTTAAATTTAAAGACATTTTAAATATATTATATTCATTCAATTAAGAATTGTTTAAAATGAAGAGACAGTGCTGTTATAGAAAATATAAAATTAATAAAATATTATATGATTTAATTATCGCTTTATTATAGCTTACAATACTTGTAATCTATAGATATATAAGATATATTATCTTTAAATTTGAAACTTGAAATTTAAAACCTTTTTTTGATATTAACTTATTAACATACTAAATCGAATTATATAAATATTATGAAGCTATATGTTACCAATATGTTGAAGAAATAAAGGTACGAAAATCCTATTCGTAAAACTGCCAATACAATGTAGTCTCGTTGTAAAACTTTGGAATCCAATTCACGACCATTCTAGAATGTCTATTTTCTTTACGTGCAAAGGACACATATAAAGGGACAAATGTATTTTTATTTCCTAAAACATGTCTAGAATAACGTTTGTCCTTTCGTTTTTCATAAACATTTCTTAGAATTATCATAAGACTTGGCCCGTAGTTTATTATGGTCCTTAGTTGAATGTGGTCCACGAGCACAACAGCGTATTAGTCTATATTGATTATAATGTTGTTAATGCTAACTAAAAACATATTAACTGTTATTTTTATTTTTATTTGTATAATTACATGTAATTGTCAATTACTAAGCTTGTAGGCTGTCATGTTAATCGTTATAACTCCAGTTATAGGGTTTTGAATTAACAATTTATTCTTTACTTTTATTTTTGTTACTATATCTTATCTATTAAACAAATTTTTTTATCCATAAAAATTATATTAAATTTAAAATACATGTGATTAAACATAAATTTTCCTTTATCATTCTAATTGTTTTGATCACTTTTGTTAAGATAACGCAACCTTTAAAATGTTTATAGTTAGTTAGTTGAAACAACTAATTCACTATAATATTTATATTACTGGGGATAATGACTTTTATAATAACTAATTAGAATCTAATATTAATATCTAATATAATATAATATTTTTTTTTTACGTACAAGGCCTCCCCTACAAACATCATTGGCCACGGTTTGTGTATTGCATGAAACTAATATAAAAGTTTAAATATATAGATAATAAGGTAAATAAATACATAAGAGGTACAGTGGAAGTCTTAAAAACTAGATAAAATGTACATTTTTTTTTTGCCTATTTTATATTTATATGATATACCTACCTAATATTAATTCGACCAGAGTGTAATATTTAAATTTTAAATATAATATTTTAAACATTGCATACAATATTATACTAAATAAAAGTACCAATGCCTAGCTAATATTATTAGCAAATTGCCACATTATTATCTTTTGAGCTCTTTCATTCTTTTTAGTTCTCCTTTTTTTCGTCCCTCTGGATATTTCTACCTTATTATGCAACTTTTCACATCTCTTTCGTTCCCCATAAATCTTCGTGTTATTAAACTCATACGCCTTCACTTTTATTCTATCCAAACATACAAATCCCATATACTTTCCACTTATTTCGTTTCTGCTTTCAATTTTGTTTACAATACCTGTGGATATAATATAGGTCCCGTTTCAATCAAAGTCAAGATACAATTTAATGTTGAGTAATATATATTTTTTTTTTTTTTTGCTTCAAAACGTAAAAACCAAATGCCCGTACCAATTTAACACTATTTTTTCCCATGATTTGAAGTTGTTTTCAGAAGTCCAACGGGATTTACCTAGGTAGTATATACAAATGAGTTTAAAACTAAAAAGTTTTAGGGTCATCTGGTAAATTATGCATTATTGTTACACCCATTTGATTAATAATCCAACATAAACATTATAAGAAGCTGTTTACCCGTAGGCGTATTCA